GAATAACTGGGTACCAAGAATTCCCAGATGGCCACCCTCCCCGAGGGGCTCATGAAAGAAACAGATTGCCCCACTGGCCAATGTGTCAATAATTAACAATTAAGGGTCCCTGTGAAACAGAGAGATAGCTACCATTAGTTAGCACATCCTGAGGTCTGCAGGTTTTACAACTGGTGGGGTCAGGAGGCCATCTGATTCCCAGGCCTCCCCTCAAGACAAAGGGCTTCCTAGGAACCCATGACTCTGGTCACGTATTCAATGGACAGAGAGTCGAGGTCCCTCCCTAAGCTTATGGTTTTTGTCTTTAAAAACGCCTGTGCCTTGGGGACGGGTCTGCTCTCTAGCCTGCATGCTGAGAGAGCCCGTTTGTACAAACGTCCACGTTTCATTAAAGCCTCTTGCTGTTTGCATCAAGTTTCCACCTCCTCCCTGGTGGTTGGGGTGGCCGCAGTCCTGGGGAAAGATTCTGGAGGCCTGAGCTTCCAGGGGTCTTACAGCAAGAGCAGAATTTTCTAGATGTGCTGCTGAAGGGAGAGGGACAACGGCAGCTTTTCGATATCTACTTCACACCACTTGTTCTTGATACCTTCAAGGTGAGGGGTTGAGTTCTGGTTTTGCAAATTCATGTTCTGCTGCTTTGGAAAGTGAGTGGGATGTAATCAGAAGGCTGCTTTTCAAGGCTGTAAAACACACAGATCTGTTACAGGGCCCAATCAGTATCTGGGGCTGAGTTAATTCTAGCAATGCATCCAGGCACCTGGGCTAGCATCTCCTGGGCCTCTCCTGATGCACCTCCTTGACTGCTCCTAGGTTCAGCCTTCCTTCCCTGTAAACCCACACTCTGAAAGCAGCACAGCCCTTTTGCAGTAGCGTGCACTGTCCTGGGAGGCTGGCTGCTGGTGATGCAGTCCTCAGCGAATGTCAGCAGGGTTTTGACTGTGCTGTTTCAAAGATAACGACACAGTTTCATTGTTGCGGTTGGAGAACACACATTTGCATCAGTGGACTCTACCTGCACAGAGCAGGCTGTACACAGACACACGTCGATGCAAAGCCAACCCTGCACCTGTTTGTTTTTGTGGTATGTTAAAACACAGATTCTTAGGAGACAAACCCAGGGTTGTCCTTCCAAACCCCCAATTTGCCACAGGTGGGTGAAAAGCCAAGTTACAAAAATCTGTGTGGAGGAAGGGTCTTAGAGTAGAACTCGTATGTCCCTCATGGGAGCTGAGTGTGCAGGTTGTCAAGTGGGAGCAGTTAGGACAAACCTGAGCCTTGCCTGTCAGGGGTGCTAGGGTTCACCAGTCTCAAAGTGCAGATTTACTGGCTGGAGGCAGAACTTGGGCACAAGAGCACCTGGATCAAAACCACTAGCTGCTTCAGCCAGGGCCCAGTTAGCTGCGGTCCACCAGGCTCACAGTGGCTTTCCAGGAGGGCAGTTTGAATTTCTGCACATCTTTTCTCTGAGCTCAACAAGATGTCTTTGAGGCTTACCCACCCATAATACTTTCCTTGTTTTCCTGTTCCCTCTTCTTCCTCTTCCTCTTCCTCTTCCTCTCCTCTCCTCTCCTCTCCTCTCCTCTCCTCTCCTCTCCCCCCCTCCTCCCCTCCCCTCCCCTCTCCTCTCCTCTCCTCTCCTCCTTCCTTTGATAAGGGTTTGTCATGTAGCCCAGGATGACCTGGATCTCATTATGTGGTTTAAGTTGGCCCCTGACTCATGGCCATCCCCTTGCCTCTGTCTCCTGAGTGTTGTGTACAACCATTTCTTGTGACTTTCCCTGTCCACAAAGGCCTCCAACCCTATCCTTGTTATAATAGTGACCGTGGAAGTGAGTATGGGACAGGAAAGAGCCAGGAGAGAGGTCCTTCCATTCCCACTCAACCCTGGGCACTGCTGGATTTGGGGGACATGGCAGCCGAGGCCTCTTAGCATCTGGGCACCTTCTTCCATGAGGAGTTACGGTGGTGTGGTTTTCAGGCCGGCAGTTTGTTCTGTTCAAAGTTGTGGTTAGCTGTTCTCATGTCCAGTGTGCACAGGGCCCAGGGACCTCTGTGTCAAAGCACTGAGAGTGCCATTTCCCATGCCTCCCTCAGGTCTGCCTGCAAATCTGGTGCCCCCATGAAGCCCACCTTTCTCACTTTCCTCTCCCCTTTTTCTTCTTGTTTCCATTTTCTTTCTTCTCTCTTTACAATTTCACTCACAGGTTAATTTTATCTACTTTCATGATTCTAATTACTCGTTTGCACTAATGACTCATAAATCTGTCTGGAATTCTGCCCTGTTGTCAATTCCACGTTAATTGATTGTTGGCAAAATCCTTTGGCTGGCTGACTACCTGGCTGCAACTCTAAAAGCAAATTTGCCATTCTCCTTTGAAGGATTTCTCTGATGCTTATTGCTGTGAGAGGCAGTACAGCCCTCCCACTCATCAGAGTACAACCCTGGACTTGCCTGGATCTTCAGCTGTCCGCACTCCATGGAGTGGCAGGCGTTGTGTGACTCCACCTTTCCTTCAAATGACACTAGTTTTTCCTGTTCAAGTCTTTGTCACCTCTTGACCATCACAGTAGCTCACAACTGTATTTTTTTTCTCAACCTAATTCATGTTATAGCATCTATCAGGTTACTTACTTGAGTATATCATTCCCAGGATCACAGTACCTTCAAGGGCCCACCTGCTCTTCGGATAGCACCAAATTACATTATCTGTGTTGGAGTTCAAATGTGTGTCCTAGTTTTCTCTGTAGATTTCCCTCTGTGCATGCTCCCCTCCAGGAGACCCACATTATCTGTCTACTAAGACATACCTAATGCTTTTCTCCCCTGGCCCTGCATCCTTTCTCTTTTGTCCACATGTGTAGATCTCAACCATTAGCTGAATGCACTGTGCCATGTCTGGTCTGGTACTTTCTTCTTGCATCACTTTCGTTTTAACCATATATCATCATTACATTCTAAGTTCCATGAGGTGGCAGTTTTGTCAATGCCTGGTCACAATTTTCAAGGTACTTAGAAGAATTTATTAAATAAAATGTGAATGTAACTCTCACTGTGCTCTGCTATTTCTTTTATCTTTACTCTTGGGGAGGAATGAGTCTTAATTTAAATATACATGCACACATCCAGTTATCTGGACACACACACACACACACACACACACACACACATACACACACACACACCCCACAATCCAATTGTGATTGGCTTGGTGCACCTTTAGTTGAGACTAGTAAAACATCTTTCATATGCGTTTATGAACCTATTTTCATCACTTCAGGTTTGTACAGGTATGGTGGCATAGAGAATTTCAACTGACAACATATTGAGATAATGGGCCTGTGTTTATACAGCATCCTCGCCAAACCCACACACCTGTCCCTGCTTGCTACTGTGACTCAGTAAAAATCCTTCCTTTAATCAGTTCTCTGTTATGTCATTGAGGTTGAGAAAATCAGAGCACATAAGGCTTGAGACTAGAGCCTCTTTGGGGGCATAATAAGATTACCAATGTAATGGTCCTCATACCATTAGTTCAGTATGAGCCAGTACAGTGGTAACTGCTGTTAAATCCAAGTTCATTTTCTACTCATAGGGATACAGGTATGTGGGTGTTTTCTCTCTTTGAAAGACATAGTGAGTGGCTCAGCTGGGACCGGAACACAATCACTTGATTTCAAAGCCAGAGACCCCCAACCTTCTCTAGTTGGTCATTTTATAAAGTTCAATGACAAAGCAAGAGAAACCGAATATGCCCCCTGCTCTAATGGAGCCTGCCATCCAGTTGGGGATAAAGGACTACAGAACACCATAGATGAGTAAACAGCTCACAGTTTGTTGCATCGCCTGAGAGTGTAGTTTCCAGGGGTGGATGGTTTGTATAGTAATCACCTGTTTCCATGCCTGTCTCTTCTAGACTTTGGACTCTTGGGGGCATGAATGTGCATTATTTATTGTGGCTCTGTCAGCCTAGCACAGTGCCTTGCTTGCTGCATGTAGTGGGTACTCAAACTGCAGCTGTTGAGCTGAGCAGAATAGGTAAACAGGGGTAGGGGATGGTGTGGGAGTGGGGCTTTCCCAGAAGGCGAATGAAATGGCAGCAAGGCAGATGTGGACAGAGTCACTGGAAGGGATCAGGGAGGAAGAACATTTGAGGGATCCATAAAGTTTTAGGTCTTCTCTCCCCATTTTCTATTTCCCTCTCCTTGAATTTTGGACCTTGTGAAAGTTTTTTTTTTTTTTTCAACTAAAAGTTTGAGCTCCATCCTTGGCTCCCTGTACCACGCTTGCCAACATCTCTGTCTTGTGTTTTGCTCCTGCAGTCAAGATGAAAAAGGGATTGCACATGAAGGCAGCAGTAGTCCCATAGGAAGCTGCAAGTGGAAGCCACGCATATCTTAAAATTTCAAGTACTGGGCCAAGTGTGGTAGCACATGCCTTTAATCCCACTACTAGGGAGGCAGAGGCAGTTATCTCTTAAATTAAGGCCAGCTTGGTCTATACAGTGAGTTCTAGTATAGTCAGGGCCATGTGGAGAGACACATATCCTGTCTCAAAAAGACAAAAACAAAAACTTCTCCCAAACCCCAAAGGTTAAAAAAAAAAACCTAGTACTCATATTTACAAAAGTAAAGTTGCCTGCTATGGTTTTACATGTGGCTGTTACCCCAAAATTTTATGTGTTGGAAGCTTGGTCCCCAATGTAGGGGTGGGATATAGTGTTATGCCTTTGGGAGAGACTTGGTTAGAAGACCTTAGGTCATGGGAGGATAAATATGTAAAGTTCATTTTAGTTATAGTTAACCTCAACCCAATATACCAAGATATTACCATTTCCATCACAAAGTTACTCACCAAGCATTTTACTTTCCAGCAAACCATCTTTAAAATGTGGTGTGGATTTAGCATGCACAGTGCACTGCAGTTGAGTACTAGGCTAATTTCCAGGCCACACGTGGCTACAGCTACAGTAGCTGGCAGTGCCTGGCTTCAAAAGTGATACTGAACAGCCCTCCTCCTGCCTAAGTGGTGGAGGCACTGGATTGAGGCTGGAGATGGCTGTACTGTCGAAAGGGCAATAGTCTACTGCAGTTCTTTTGGGACCCAGGTGGGAAAGACCATTTTTTTTAACTCTTTAAAACCCACATTCCCTTCTATAAATATAAAAATCCATAACTTCCTACTTGAAAATTCCCAAAGCAACTTCTATTTTCCACTAGAAGACATCCTGCTTGTGGGGTTTGTGAATTTGCTTTTGAACTGACACTTGTCCTCTGTTCCTGCACTGAGAGTCATGGAAAGGGTTTCAGACATTCACAGACAAGATGGAAGGGGTCCCTACCAGGTCTGTAAACTGATCCTCACAGGCCATTCGTATCAGCTCCGCTGTGACAGGGCTATTCATGGCCCAAATTGGGGGCAAGCCTCTCTCCTTTCGAGCTGCAGCCACAGCATCGGCAATAGCGAAGAACACAGAAGAGCCCAGAAATATTCCAGCCTCACCGAGACCCTGGGGTGGGGAAGACAAAAATGAGAAGACTTTTAGAAGCCTGGCCTTGGACAGCTATCTCATGGACGGGACGCCAGGAGGACAGGCGCCAGGGGTGGGGTGGGGAGGGGTGGGGTGGTGTGGGGACTGACAGAGCTGCCCTTTTCTGACTCAGTGCTTCTGAAGGGAGAGCCTCCTTTTGGTGCTTTTGTCCTTCTAACAATGTTGCTGATAGGTGGATAGGCCCACTGACAGATTCTGGGCTGTTCTACTTAGCTATGTTGGGTGCCTGGGTAGTGCAGGAGTAGATAATACTTATTCCACAAGTCTGCAAAGGACTCAGCTTGTATGTTTTTGGTTGCTTCTCGTCTCTTCCAAACAATAGCCTACTTGGGATCACTCATTTCTCAAGATGATGAGCTTTCCAGCCACCCCAAGGATCCATTCCAGAACAGCCAGAACGCTGCTACAGCACCAGTTTCTATTTGTTTAGGAAGTTTGTTGGGACACAATGGAACTCCATTCTGGTGGAAGATAGGCCCAAGAGGTAATCCCAATGCTGGTTACACTTGCCAAATAATGAGAGCCTGGCTAAGGCCTGGCATGCCCATGCCCAAGGGGACCATGTGGTTGCAGCTGAAGTCACCCAATGTGCCAACTGGGCTTTTAAGGGATGAGGAAGGTATAGAAACACCTTGCTAGTCGCTGACACTCTTAGTAGGGCCAAGGATTTATCCCATGCCAAGGATTTATCTTTCTTAGTCTGAATTAAATCAACAACAGTGGTTCAAATGCTTTCTCAAGGTTCAGAGAGAACTACAATGAGACAAAGGTTTTTCAAGATATACCAGTAGACGATTATGTATCACATGGGGGATGGTGCCTGCCATTGAGAGTCTTGGAGTGCTGGGCAGTGGTGGTGCACAGCTTTAATCCCAGCACTCTGGGGGCAGAGGCAGGTAGATCTGAGTTTGAGGCCAGCCTGGTCTACAGGGTAAGTTCCAGGACAGCCTGGGCTATGTAGAGAAAAACCCAAACCAAACCAAACCAAACCAAAAAAAGAGTTTCGGAGTTAGAGGTCTCCTGGAATAAAACCCTCACCACCTTGGTGACATTACACTCAGATATCTTGTCCTGTTTGGAAACCATTGTCTCATGTGCTGCAGGGTAGTCTTCTGTCTGCCGTGACAGGGTGACTCTTGCACACACCTGTCAAGCCAGAGGGTATCTGAACTCTAAGGGATGTAGGCAGCCTTTCTCTGATGTGTCTGATATACTCTAGGAGCTAGAGAAACTCTGATGAGGGTTGTATGACTTGTTCTGATTGAGTGTATGTCCAAGCAGAAGAAAGACACCCGACGAAGTGAATGAACACAACAAATGAAAAGCTCTATGAGACAGGACAATTGTGGTCATCTGCATGATCTGAGAAGGCAGAGGTGGCTTTTCCTGAAGAAGTGACATTGACACTGATGTATGAGGTGAAAGGGTGCTTGCCAGGTGAGGAAGGAAGGATGAGTCCCAGGCAGAAGGGCAGTGTGTAAGGCTGTGCATGAACTAGGTGGGTTTGGACACCCATGTATCTGGTTAAATAGCAAGGCAAGCTGAAAAAAGCTATGTAGCTTAAGCATAGAAAGGATGGTATGAGAAGTCTTGAGAGAGATTGGTAATATGGACTATGCAGGGCTCTGAAGCCATGTTAAGAGCTGTGTCTTATTTTCAACTCAAAGGAAGCCACCAAAGGATTTTTTACTACGAATCACAGAACTTTCTTCCTAGTCTGGTACTCTGTGGTTAATCTGTTGCCTTAACAGATCAAATACACCTTAATTCGCATAATGTGTCAAAGAAAGACTTCAAGCAGTGACTAATGTGGGAAATTAGCTGGTAGAGAGGAACAGGGAAGATCCAAGGCCTTTGAGGACATTATTGGGTTGCTCATTGTTCCACATATACTGGTCCAGTCAGGTCTTCAGGCCTGTCCTCATCAATAGTTGGATCTCCTTGGCAGTAGAAGCCATCAGATTCTCATGCTATAACTCCTTGCCCTTGATGGGCCAGGGTGATGGAGACAGGCAAAAGGGGCCTTGTGGCTGTGGTTTTGTATAGTTATGACAGGTAATGATGTGAGTATGTTATGAGAAATGTGTCACTGAGCAATTTATCCTTCTTCAGCTGCACAAAAAGACAGCTACAAGGTCACCAAGCCCATACAGCCTGTCAGGTTTGTCTTTGTATAGGTGGTCCAACATTGGATCCAATGTTATCACATGGCAGATGGCAGTACCTGTCTCCTTCATTGTGCTGGTGAACCGTCCCACATGTGTTAGGCGACTTAAGTTATTATTTTAAAAAGTGGCATGTGGAGAGGAAGACACCATGAGACAGAACTTGGGTGGAGGGGTACTTTATTAGGGGAAAGTGAATGGGAAAAGGGGGGAGAGCAGAGGGATGGCAGGCCTCTGGGGATAGGAGTAACAGAAGAGAAGAGAGAGGCAGAGAGAGAGAGAGGCAGAGAGAGAGAGAGACAGAGACAGAGACAGAGACAGAGAGAAATATGGGAGGTGGGAAGGTCCCTTTGAAAAGGAAACATAGTGAATTGCACAGCTGGTACTCTTCGTGGCTGCAGCTGAGGGCATATCCCATCAGAACCCCAAAGGCAGGCCGGTACAGATGCCTGAATACTAACAACTTATGTCTTCCAGAAATTGGGAGAGTGAGTGCCCTGTACTCTGACTGCTCTGCACAGTCTTAAGTGGCTACAAGTGGTAGAATTGGTGTCAGGTGGAGGTCTTCTGGTTTAGACAACATGGTTTGGGCCCCCATACCTGTCCTGGAAGCTTCTAAAAAAGCATCTAGGTTGGGGGCAGAGAGATTGACATTATAATCAACTCAGAGTCTATTATATAGACTCTAAGTATACCAGGCTCTACAGTTAATTGGGCCCTAGGAAACTACTCAAATTCCCAGAGGTTGGCATGTGAGCTATACCCATCTCCTTAACTTATGAGGAGAAATTAAGACTATACACTGTGCTGGGCTGGTGACTTCCCACCATCAAATCTCAGGGGAAGCACTTGGTGACCAAAGGCTCCTCAAGAGGCTCAAGTTAGCCACAAACACATGTCTGACTGTCCATTATGGCCACCAGGAAAGTCTTGGATTGTATCTTTTGTGGTTTAGGCTAAGCTGTCACAGTCAGCTGTTTGCAAATATCTGATGAATAAATGAAAGAGTGAATACCTGTTAAGGATGAGCTCTTGCTTATTAGTGAAGACAACAACACAGGGTGGTTGCCTAATCTTCATTGTCAACCTAACTGGAATAGAATCACCTAGAAAGTTGGGGAGACACATCTTTGGATGTGTTTGTAAATACTTTTCCAGACAGGATTCACTCAGGGGTAGAGAGATATGATCTGAACTCGGGTTGCACCATCCCATGGGCCAGGGGCTCAGAGAAAATAAGACGGGATGAAGAAGAAAGCAAACAGAGAGTCACAACCCCTATTTCTCAGCTCCCTGGCTACCAGGAACCTCTCTTCCTACCAGGATGGAGTGGATCTTCTGAAGCCATGGTTCAAAACAAATCTTGCTTTTGTTAAGTCCTTTTTGCCAGGTATTATTGTCCCAGTCATGCACAAGTGACTAACATACCTAAGTGACATTAGCAACTAACATCATCCTTAGCTGACTTTGAACAGGCCACTGCTGAACTTTCGGCTTGTGAAGTGTCCTTAACCTTTCATGTCTACAAAGCCTGCACTTCCGTTGTCACATTTTAGATATGGAAACCAGGACTTGGGTAACTTATAAGGATGGAACTGGGTCACATTCCCAAACTTTGTAATGTTCTCTACTGCATTTAGTTTCAGTGTCTCCCACACAGTGGTCACATCTACTGGTTACCATTGTTGGAACATGTCTGCCTGAGTTCATGTGCTGACAACTCGTTCTCTATTCATTGTGAGGTAAGACATTTAGGATGGGCAGGAGTGGCTATGCTATGAAGGTGAGCTTGGCCTTCTTCTCTGTCTTAACACTCTGTATTGTCTGCCATGGTATAATGCAGCAAGAAGTCACCACCAGATGTGGCTTGTTAATTATGGACTTTGCTAGCTTTGAAGTTCCTTATAAGTTACCCAGTCTCAAGTATTCTGATGCAGCAACACGAAACACATCCTGCCATTTTGTATTGAGCAATATTACAGGTGTCTACCTCTCCTTATTATGTGGTGTCCCCTCGCTGCTTTATAGAAGGAATCCCCTTTCTCCTGGTTGGCATAAGGCAACTACATGACGTAGGTACACACACCTTGGATACAGTCCTACACTGATAATGACAATGTGATCAGTGACAGACAGGATATGCAACAGTGGTCCCACATGCTCATAAGGTAGCTCAAGATTTAGTGCCATCATGACAAGGTGACACCATTGCAACATCTGTGTTTATGAGGATGCTGATCTAGACAGAATACTGCTCTTCCAATTGCAAAAATGTACAACAGTACAAGTACACACAATACACGACAGTTGGTAATAAACAACTGTGCTTTGGTTTATGTCTGCCTTATTTTTGTTGCTATTTTAGAATACACTTATATTCACCTTAAAAAGCTGACTGTGAACCGGAATACTGTGTCATATTGGCAGCAGCTTCATGTAGCTTGTGTTTACTGTGTTTCTCAAGTGCAAAGAGGGGCCATGTTAAGTGACCGATGCATACCATTTAAGTTTATGTAATATATGCTATGATATTCATATTGAATCACCTAACACAAATTTCTTGGAACATACCCTCATTGTGAAGCAATGTGCAACTGTGCTGGACTATGGAGAAACGCCCAAGACATGTGCTGAAGCCAAGTCTATCCGCACATGTGAATGAAGTTATAGAAGCTACAGACTCTCAGAGGACAAATGCCCCTCAGGTCCAAACCGATGGCTAAAGGACAGTGTGACAATCCCAGCTCTTGGAGGAGGTTCTTCCCACTCTCCGTTGGTATAGCCCCAGTGGGGACAATGTAAGAGGGGAGGAGGGAGCTAGGAGACAATGATGGGTACTGTTCTATGTCAAGAAGTGTCTTCTAACCTACACTCATCTTGGTTGAAAATCAACACCTGACAGGTAGAGTATATCGAGAAGTTTGAAACATTATATGGCCTTCTCCCCTGGCTTGAAACTGCACAAGGTGACAGTCTCTCAAGTTTGGCAACCATCTGGATTATTCCAGGGTTACAAAAGACTAGCACCATCCAGGAGGGCCATGTACCACCACTGATCTCCTTCTCAGGTTACGAAGAGGTGCATCCTCCTCAGAAGAGGAAAGTACTGGGGTCACAGGCCATATTCATGGCCCTGAGCAGGGTCTGCAGCAGCTCAGCCTGTGAACATGTGGCACAAAGCTCTACAGAACGTTGTCTTGTCTCTGGTTCCTGCCATCTAGTTAACAAGAGTTGGCTTTTCCCAGAGAAGATCCTGTCAAATAGATTGTGAACTACTTAATTTTCCTTTAGTGAAGTCTGTTTAGAAGAGGAAAGCCCCCTGTGATGATACAAACCTCTAGTTCTTGAGTAACCTTGTATGAAGTCATTCATAATTTATGAATTATGAAATTAAAAGCTGTTTAGTCTAGTCAGGCAGTGGTGGCACACACCTTTAATTCTAGCACTCAGGAGGCAGAGGCAGGAGAATCTCTATGAGTCTGAGGCCAGCGTGGTCTACAAAGTGAATTTCAGGACAGCCAGGGCTACACAGAGAAACAATGTCTTGAAAAAGCAAACCAAGGAGGCCTCAGAAATCTATGGGGCCCCCTGTAGTAGATCATTATTTATCCCTAGCATAGGAATGGACTTTGGGAGCCCATTCCACATAGAGGGATACTCCCTCAGCCTAGACACACGGGGGAGGGCCTAGGCCCTATGCCAAAGGATATGACAGACTCTGAAGACCTCCATGGAAGGCCTCACTCTCCCTGGGGAGCAGAAATGGTATGGGATAGGTAGGGTGTTAGTAGGGGGCAGGAGAGGAGGGGACGGAGAGGGAACTGGGATTGACATGTAAAACAATCTTGTTTCTAATTTAAATAAAATAATGGAGGAAAAATAAAGGCAAACCAAACCAAACCAAACCAAACACAAACCAACCAACCAACCAACCAACAAAAACCCAGTTATTTAGTTTGAAACTTATTCTGGAATGGCCTTAAGCTTGTGACATTTGTTAAGGCTGAATGAGGAAGTTACACCTTACTCCATGTTGCTTACAAGGCAGATTATATTGAGAGTACTTCTGACATGAAATAGTATATGCACCATTCAGAGCAGTGTTTCCACAACTTTCTTTTTATTATAAAGCATGGTAATATCTACAAGTCCTATTTTCTAGTATACATCAGTGTGTGATATGCATATGCAGAAATGACATCCAAAAAATAAATCATTTCCCTTATCATATAAAACATTTTCATGTTTTCTGTCTCCATTAAACTTCATTAAATTGGTGATTTAGTAAATTAATTTTATGACTCATTCCTAGGTTGTTCACAATATTGCTGGTACCCTTGAGTGTGTGTGTGTGTGTGTGTGTGTGTGTGTGTGTGTGTGTGTGCGCGCGCGCGTGCGCATGTGCGTGAACACAAAAGCTGATGGATGGCATAATTTTTTGAGACAGTCATAGGTGTGTGGTTTATATAAAGAAAGACAAAATCAATTCAACCCATCTAATGCTTATTATGTGTTTCCCATGTTTAGTCACTGCTTTGGGACTGAAAGATACAAGGATACAATACCGCTTTGTTTCCACAATACTCACAGCTAAGTTATTTACTACTGGACAAGGTTCTGTATCTATAGATGACATTTAAAGTTGGGCAGAAAAATAGCAATCACCAGTAAGAAAAGCAAAGAGCAGGGAGAGGCACACAGGACAGGGAAGTGTTGTGGGCCCAAGGAAACTGAGAAAGAGGTCAGTAGGCGATATCCAATGAGATGTCAGCTAGGTTAACGGCTAAAGAGGTCACTTAGGGGATAGGTGTTTAAATAGCGTGGTAAGATGGAGAGCAGATTACAAAGCTGAGAAGTGAGTAGGTTATTCACTATGTTAACATGCTTAACGTGATCTAGTGTCAGAAGTGTGCAACTGACTTTAGTTGAGAAATATCGCCTTGGTCTCAATTGTATTTCTCATTTCATGCCCCTCAGGGCCTCTGCACGTTGTAAACAGTGACCAATTCTTCAGTTCTGCAGTGGGAAAGCCCCAGATTAACTGTTCAGAGGAGGATGTTTCTTTTGTGATATTGGGGATAGGACAAAGGCTTGTGCGAGCCAATCAAGTGCTCCGCCACCAAGCTATGCCATCACTCCTCTGTCCGTTTTCTTTGACTAATGTTCAGAACATGTACACATGGCAAGCTGAATGAAGTCTGACCGTATGTGCTTACCTTAGAAGAGTAAATGGCTTTTGGATTTTGAGTTGGTGCCAGCAGTGACACATGGAATTCTTCTGGGATATCCGTAACTGAAGGTATTTTGTACTGGTTTGGACCACGGGTATATAGGACTCCTTCAGGGGAATATTTCAGCTCCTCTAGAGTATAAAGTCCCAGACCTTGAACAAATGCACCTTCAATCTGAAACACAGAAATGAATGAATAAGTGTCAATTTTAAAATAATGTGCTGATTTTCCAAGCATAGGCAAATGATGTCATCTTTTAAATGACCGATTTCCTCTGGAGTCTAGGTCTCTTAGCTCCATGTGTTCTACCTGCAGCTGTGAACAATAGCTTCTGAAACCCCTGGGTAGATTTCAGAAATCTAAATGGACTTGTTGGAGACACAATAATGCTTATCATTAATGGTTGGATAAGTCATTTGCATAGCAGTGGTTTTAGAAATAGGTGTCTGATACCCCTGTGGTCTGTAATAAGTTATTTGTACCTCAAGGTCATTCAATGAACAGAAAGACAGCTCTCTCAATCTCTCTTTTTTGTTTTTCGAGACAGTGTTTCTCTGTGGCTTTGGAGGCTGTCCTGGAACTAGCTCTTGTAGACCAGGCTGGTCTCGAACTCACAGAGATCTGCCTGCCTCTGCCTCCTGAGTGCTGGGATTAAAGGCATGCACCACCACCGCCCGGCTGACAGCTCTCTTTCTAGTGTTCATTTTGTACTGGTTTGGACCACGGGTATATAGGACTCCTTCAGGGGAATATTAGTGTCCATTTTGAGGATGATGGATCTGTTCTTTCTCAGGGGTTTCTCAGCATGTATCTTTGGCAATGGGCTTGTATTCACCCACCTTTGCCTTTGCCTCATTCCAAAGTCTAAAATTTAACAACACCTGAACATGTTTTTTTAGTTCAATAGCTATTTGAATTGAATCTAGCTCCATAAAAATGAGAGTCAAGAAAGAAAAAAAAAGAAACCAAAAAAATAGTGTTTTCCAGAGTACCTTGGTTCCATTTCCAGCACCAACATGGTAGCTCACAACTGTCTATAATGCCAGTTCTAGGGGATATACAGCCCTCTTCTGGCCTCTAAAGGCACCAGGCACATATGTGTTCCACACAGACAGGTAGGTGGGCAAAACACTTATACATATAAAATTTTTAAAAAATCAATGCTAGGAACTATAAATGTCTGTAAATGTTATGCTGAAAGAGACTCTCAAACTGTCTTTGTTTATTGTAATGTACTGAATATTGGGGTTACATTAAAACTGTTTTGTCATACCCAGAAAATATAATTGCTTCCTTCAGCCTGTATCCAGAGCAGGTGAAAACGTGGTTATCGTTTGAAGTATTTGGATATTACCTCACCAACAAGGCATATGTCCTACCTGGCCTATGTCCACAGCAGGGTTTATACTGAAAGATCCATCCATGACAATGTCAGTTCTAATGTTCTGTGGAGAACAAACAAACAAACAAAAACATGGTTGCAGAATATACTCCACTTTGTAAACAATAAATATTTATTTTTGATTAGGGCATAGAAGGTGATTATAAAATACCACGACAAAGTTCTACCGTTGGTAAAGGTCATAAAAATACCAAATGTTATTAATTAAAATGTGCTTGTTGGGATAAATACAAATCAGGGATTATTGAGTAAGTGATGACCATGGAGTTGTTGACCTGGAGTCTGCTAGAATTTTTAAAGTTCCCAAGTACCTGATATGAGCCCATCCTCCTACAAAATTGAGGTTGTGAAATTTTTCCTTACTCAATCCTAATATTATAGAGCTACTTGAAATAATGGCTATGAACTAATGATGTGGAAAGTGGTCATGAAACCAGGCTGTAAAATTACATACACAGATGAGAACATTCATCAAAACATCAGGTCCAGCAATCAAAATGTATAACTTTGACTAACCTAATTAAAATATGCAATCAGAACTTAGCAACATGTCCTGGCTCATTCTAACACAGACCTCCCCCTTTCCCCTCTTAAAATCAACACTTGCAAAGCCATTTTCTGCTGTTTCTGCCAGGTTCAGATACAGCCACCTCATCTCTTTGCCTTGCTTAATAAAGGTTCTCTTTGTACTTCGTTTGTGCTTGGAACAGCAACAACGAAAAGTAAATTATCAGAATTAGATATTTCAAAAATACATAGCATGCTATTTTAAAATAGTGATATTGTAGAAGAGACTTTAAAATTATGTTGTCTTTGTGCTGAAAATTTGTGGTGGGGGTTGTCTTTTAGGATTAACAAGTCATCCCATGTGTTATGTTCTTATTTTGGGAGCTAGGTTCTCACTATGTAGCCCAGGCTGGCACTAGAACTCTCTATGTAGTACAGGCTGGCCTCAAATCCATAATCTTCCTGTTCTATTGCCAAGAGGACGAAGAGGATGTAGCTTCCTGCTGGCTGCTGTTTCTTCCTTTGTCTGAGAACTGCAGTTGGTGTTATATGGAGTGTCTATTGAACTAGCACCAATGGCCTCACAGCTATTTTAAGGCAATTTTTTTCTTCCATAACTTTGCTTCTTATATCCAATTCTTTCTTCCCAGGAAGATTGGTAATTGAGAAGCCCTTGTAGCTTTTGCCAGAAAAGATTATAGACATCCATACTCTAAAACAATTCTACAACAAGTGTATCCTATTGGTTGTTTTCGTTTGTGCTTCTTGGATCCTAGCCCCAAACTTATTTTTTCTCTGAGGATCTTAAACGGTCATCTAAGTCACTTCAGTCTGCTGAATCCATCTGAGAGAGTTAAGACATCCGATTTGGTGGGTTTTAGGCATTTGTTTTTTCTTTGTGTCTTTTAACTTTTGAGTAGCTGGTTATATGTGATATGCAAATGAAGGTGGGCCACATCACCTTCACAACACATTTCCTATACTGGTGGCACATGTTTGCCACTTACCTTGTGAGCACCCGTAAGACAATCAATTTCCACCTCAGAACAGGCGGCTCCAAAAACAAAATAGGGGTAAATGTCACCTTCTCCCTTCTCCCAGTCCATGTCAGCTTTGTAGCCCCTGAAAAGACAAGACACAGCCAGTGGTCAGGATTGGGGGTATGTCAACGAGATTTCTCTAAGGATATGGAGATGGGAGAAGCGAGTTGGCTGCAGGAGTAAATTATTCACAGAATGTAGAGGCTCTGGAAATCCTGGGAAGTAATTAGCCTGGTGGAGAAGGTCCACTGGCCACCCTCCTGGCCTGGTGAAGAAGGCCACTGGCCACCCTCCTGGCCTGGTGGAGAAGGGCCACTGCCCACCCTCCTGGCCTGGTGGAGAAGGTCCACTGGCCACCCTCCTGGCCTGGAGGAGAAGGGACACTGGCCACCCTCCTGGCCTGGAGGAGAAGAGCCACTGGCCACCCTCCTGGCCTGGAGGAGAAGGGACACTGGCCACCCTCCTGGCCTGGAGGAGAAGAGCCACTGGCCACCCTCCTGGCCTGGAGGAGAAGGGACACTGGCCACCCTCCTGGCCTGGAGGAAAAGGGCCACTGGCCACCCTTTTGGCCTGGAGGAGAAGGGCCACTGCCCACCCTCCTGGCCTAGAGGAGAAGGGCCATTGCCTACCATGAGGAGGGACATGAGCTTCATGTGAGGTTTCAATAAACGAGTCCACTTTTAACTTCAAGCAAGCATAATCTCTAAGTACTACACTTTTTAAAAAACACACCCAGCAACATTCTAAGCGATCACAACTGTGAAAAGAAAGAAAGTGCACACGGTTTTCGTTTTGAAAAACAATTCCTTGGTTGCTGGAGGGCTGTGGCATGGAGTGTAGTTTTTGCTGGAAGTGAAGCTAAAATGAATTCAAATGATGACCTCTCTCAGATCCAGAGGTGGGTGGCAACCGCCTTTCCTTGAGTTACTGCTCTGATGTCACAGGAGGCCTGACCAAGTACATTTTTGATTTAGCATTGCCTTGCAAATTGTGTTGAGCAGTCATGGGGTTAAAAGGCCCAGAATCCCGCTAAGGAACTGTGATAGCCAGAAGAGTTATTGAACATGTCAATAAGACTGCTTTCATGTGGCCGATCGGCTGTCTTCACTGAAGGACAGTGACTGTTAATGCTGCTTCTTGTCTCACAAGGATGGACACACAGGTCCTATGGTCAAGCCTTGCTATCCAGATTTGAAATGTTTTCTTTGTAGCCAAATTTTCATCAGAGACCAAAGTATTGGACTCATTTTCTTGCAGAGCCTGCTAAACAAGCCAACTTACAAACACTCACTTGAAAAAGCCCACATTCCATATTTCTGAGAGTTATCACTGTTTTAGGCATTGTGTGGTTCCATGACATTAACTCCTTATAAACAAAGATTGCTACCAATCCTTTCAGAACTTTGTCTTCTTCCCAGTGATACTCGGTATCCATAAAACCTGGAAGCCCAGACCCCCCTCTCTCCCTAACAGCTACCACTTGGCTTTCAGCTTCAGAATTTGACTCTTCTAGGAATCTCATGTAAGTGTAACCATTTGATATTCACTAGTCTGTGACTGCTTAAGTAATGTGTGTGTGTGTGTGTGTGTGTGTGTGTGTGTGTGTGTGTGCAGCCATTTTAACATTCTCCATTTCTTTA